GGCTGTAGTTTGTGCTGTGGCACCCGTTCATCGGCTGTACTTGAGCTTCCCCCTTTTAATTTTGCGAATTGATAGTTTAGGTAGGATTGGATTTAAACTTCGATGTAAAGGCTTTGCCATAACGAGGGGGGGTTTGCTCTTCAGGTCAGGTCTGAGCTACGACTCACAAGTGTAACCCTGGCTTCAGTGTGCATCCCAGCAAGTGTGGCAGAGGTGCTGTTGCACGTCTTGAATGCGGTACGCATACGGCGTGGTCCTTATTCAGGCACACGGGTACCTCTATGAGTTCAGCATGCCCGCTGTCATGTTTTCTTGTGTTCATCAAGGCCAGCCTCTGACTAGGGAGCCCTCTGGGGCTCTCCGGCTGTTTGGGGGCCAGCTGCAGTTCCAGGCCTCCAGTCTGTGGCCAGACTTGGGCGTCCAAATACCTATGGGTGGGTTGAGGCGAGGCGGGGAGACCTGCTGCAGTCTGTGTTGCTCAGTCCCATCCCATCCTATCAGCAGGATTTCCCCGGGAGCTGTTCTGGTGTCAGGCTGGTACATCGGGCCTCCTTCCCCTCTGTGCACACTCTTGTAGGCATGGTGCGCTGTGTTTTTCTGTTGCAATTGGAGGTGCTACATGTTAAAATCTGAGCCAAAAGAATAGCCAGCTGTCATCACTCATCCCCACCTGGCCACACGCTTCCGCTATTCACCTTCTGCAGGCTTTGGTGCTTGTCTGACAATGTGAGAAGCCAGTTTGGTGCACCAGAACAGCAAAAGTCCATTGGGAAAAAAAAAACCAAAACAAACCCAAACCCAAAACAAAAACAAAAAACCCCAAACAAACAAAAAACAGACTTCTTTTTTGCAAGTTTAGCAAAATAATGTGTTCTTGGGCTGATGCAGGGGAAGGGATAAGAGATCATTCAGGAGCAGGAACGGAGCCTGTGAAACCAATGGTTGGGCCAAGCTGAGCTGCTTTCGCTCACTGTAACTTGTGGCTTCACACTCTGCTATGTGAAAGCTTTGACTTGTGGCTTGAAGAGTATCTGCATCAGGAAAAAACGATGTGAGCATTGTTTGGCAGATGCTTTAAAAAAAACTGGTTCAGCGAGGCCACCTTCCAGACAGAGGGAAAGGACGGGGCTTTTCTGCTTCTTCCCCTCCCTAAGGTAGTTTGGGTTTTTCTAGGATACTTGCATACGTAGGTGCTTTTTTCTGAAGTGTGCATTTTGTTACTTCGGGTCATACAAACTAATGATCGTTACGGAGTTCAGTGTGTGATTTCAGAAATTTAAGTAACTTCCCTTGTGGAGTTCAGATATCTAACTGAAATTACAAATACTTTCCTCTGATGTGCTGCAGAAACAGCTCCTCAGTGCAGTAGTAAGTGCCTTGTGGCGCACAGCACCTTGATGTTCAACTACAGAGCCATAGATGTGATAATTTTTTCGGTATTTTGGAAGGTGATAGAGGAAATTATCTGTTTCTGAATGCTAATATAAGGCAAAATAATCAATGTGCAGTCTTGACTGAGGAGAAGATGAACCAGCTGCCCTTGGCCCTCATTGCTTTTTCCTTTTTTCTTTTTTTTTTTTTTAAGAGGGAGAGGAGAGAAGGAAAAAAAAAAAACGCTAGTGCTTGTGTTTCATTCTGACAGCTTTCTTGAATTTTGTAAAATTAGTTTGTATCGGATGTCTGAGTGCACAGATTACTGATGGTGTAAGATACCTTGCCACATACCAGACCAGCAGTGAGAGTGCAAAAAAGAATCTGCGTGACTGGAAGGTGAAAACTTTTGTTGAATGAAGAAAAGGTTACTTAGTGGCCTTTAAATTACATGAGAGATTAATAGATAAGGTATCGGTTTTTTTACTGTAAGGAACGTAAAACAGGTTTGCAATGCTGAATGATCCATCTGTAGCCTAAGGCAACGTGTTTACTTAAGAGCACTACTCAAAAGTTGAGGCTAAGAAGCTAGTAGCATACCTCATTAAAACTTTGAATGCTCAACTAGTTATTTTGTATTTTGAATTTAGGGTTTAATGCAACTTTATGAAGATTCGTGTCGTATCTTTCCTGTACATGGAGGATGTTAAGAGCCTGGCATGACATCTCTTTTGAAAGATAGCACCATCAGCATCAGTGTGCTGGCTAGTGCTGTGTAGCAAAATCAGATGCAGAAATCAAAAAGAAAAAAAACTTTTTAACGGCTGGGGCCAGAATTTAGCTTAAGTGCTTGATCTTCTGATCTTTTTTATGTAAAAATAAACCGTATCTTAGGAGACTCTTGTCTTAAGAACAAAAAATATCATGTGGCGTATCATATCGTGTCATCTCGTGGTTGTCTTTCAGCTTAGGATCTGTTGACCTAGTACGTTTAATGGTGTAAGAGGATCACTACATGGCCAAACACAAGTCAAGTGTAGAGGGAAAACCTTTCTCCCTCTTAGGACAAGCAGCAAAAGCCGTTGCCCAGCCAGGCTGTGCAGGCTCCATCCATGGAGGTTCTGGGACCTGCCTGGAGAAAGCCCTGAGCAGCCCGGTCTGATGCCAGAGCTGGCCCTGCTCAGGGCTTGGACTTGGTCCAAAGACCTCCCGAGGGCCCTTCCCACCTGAGTGACTGCAGTGCTGTGGTTAAAAGTGTGAGGCTGTTTCGGTTTTAAAGGCATTTGATAACTGCATTTTCCTGTCTTCCTCGCCTCAGCCTACTTGCGGTAATCTTAGTCTCTTTCTTTTGACCATCCCAATTTCTTGCTCTTGGTCTCCTTGTCTTTTGGTGGTTTTTTTGGTTCTCCAGCCTGCTATTTTGCCCTGTTTATATCTCCTTCCAGCTGCTACCCCACTTAACTTCTCATCTGCCTTTCTTTGCTTCACTTGCCCCCATTTCTCCAGCCCTTGGTTCTCTACCTTTTGCTTGGCTGCCCTCCCTCCCCTTGGCTTTTTTCCACCCCTCCACCCCCAGCTCGGTCCCTGGGCTTTGGCCGGTCTCCAAGCCCAACAGTCAGCTTCCTCCTCTACTTTGCTTGGGTGGGTGAGAATGTGGTTCTTCTCCCGTACCAGAGACACAACTGTTTCCTCTCTGCTTCCGTATTTCTCGCCTCCTGATAAGCTGCTCGAGAGCTCTTGCACTCTTTATTCGCCCCCAGGAGTTTATAGTGTGACCGAATCTGGGTGGAGGTTCCTGCTAGCAGAAGGCACACCTCTAACAGAGGTTTCTGTCCCTTTCTACATTGTGAAATCGGTTTCAAAATTGACAAAACTTCAGACTTGCAAGTTGAATGGTGCACTATGTGAATGTTTAAGGATAAGCAGGCTTTATTTTTCTTTTTCCCCCTACCTGTTTCCTGGAAAGTTTCAGTGAAGTGACTGTGGCATTTTCAAAGAAGTTAGCAGGAAGCAGTCAGGGAAAAATGTGTTCGGAGTTGTTAACACAGTAAAATGTGAGTTGCAGACAATTGAAATAGGTGAGCTTTTTTAATAACAAGTGGCTGTGGACCTTAATTTATAGCTTTGTGGGGGAGCTGGGTAGCATTTATTGTTTTGTGCTGGACTCAGTCCTTCCAGTGCTATGTTCTGTGGGGAATGAATAAATAAAAGCACTAAGTTGCAATTCAGTGCTTTGTGAATAGCAGGGACTTAAATGTTTTGGTACTAGTGCATCTAGAAATGGAATAAGGAAGAGTTTTTGCCTGCGAAGCAGTGAAAATGTAATATATGGTGATGGAATTTGGAGACCAAAAGTTAGTTACTGTGTACTTGAGTGTTTCAATAATTATTTTTATTTCTCTTCTTACTTTAGAATCTTCCCTCCATTTACCGGCACCGAAGGATGTAATGATTTACTCCTATAACTTTCGTAGTTTGCTGAGGTGGTCTCCAGTTAAAGTGGATAGAGGCCTGGTGTTATATACAGTCCATTTTAAAACGTGAGTAAATAGTTCTAAAAACAACCAAACTAATTTTGTTCTAATCCAGTAACACAACTGGTTTAAAAAACCAAACCAAAACAAACTAACCACCAAAAACCTAAAAATGAATAAGCACAGAAATGAAAGAATGAATTGTCTATTACAGATGCTTTTATGTATATCTGAAAGCAGCTTCTGAAGACTGACAGTCTCTTAGCCTGTGATATGTCCGCTAAACTAAGAAAAGATTGAAGATCTAAAGAGCACCCAGAAATGTTGCATAGTTTCATGTAGAATTTTAGCCTTACCAAATTCTCTCTTGCTAATTTTAATTTTTCCTAGATACTGAGGAGATGCTGGTGCTGAAAGGGCTGTGGAATTAAACCTGCATGAAAGCGCTAGTTTTGTAACACATTATTTTGCTACAGAAATTGCCTAGGTGGGAGGAATTGTATTTTGAGTAGATGCGCTGTTCTGCTGATGCTTTATTTTCCTTTGTTTTGCATTGCAGAGGGGCCTATAACCAGTGGGAAGAGATAAACTGCACCCGTATCGCCCAGACTGAATGCAATTTCCCCTGGTCACTTAAGGAGCGATGCTGGACTGTTGTTTTGCGCGTGAGGGCTGAGCTTGGGCAAATGACTTCTGACTGGGTGAAAACAGAGCCATTTGTGGCAGAGAGAAACAGTAAGTGCTATTTATTATATCAGTCTCTCTCTCTCTCTCAAAGGAGATTTCTTTGGAGAAAAATGCATGTTGTCTGTTCTAGACTTTTTTTGACTCTGTTATGTACAAAAGCCGAGTGAGAGAATTGTAGGTGTTTGGTTAACGACGACTACAAGGCCTTGGTGCGTTACTAGGAATTTGGTACTACTTACTAGTACTACTAGGAATTTGGTACTTCCTCTAGTGGGGTTAGCAGCATGTTCTTTCAACAGGTATTGAAAGAGAAGTAGATGAGTTTCCTTGGGTGGATGAGCCTTGTAAGAACTACAACATATATTTAGTTAGAGAGTTTTCCAGTTGCTCATTTCCTCACTTAGCACGCACACATACACTCCCTTGATTTGTGGTAGTCTAAGTACAAACGACCTGTTTTATTGAACAAATCCCTTTTCTAATAAATATAAACTGTTCTGACTAGCATGTAGAAGGGTCAAGGGCACACTTTAAATCCTGTTAAATGTGTGAACAAGCACCTTGTTCTTTATAAGATCTGCTCTTTGCCTTGCTGTGAATGGTTTCAGGATTAGAAGAAAGTAAATGTTGAGTTTAAAAAAAACCTCTGAAATGATAACAAAGCAGAGGAATGGATTTATTAACTCCTTCGTTCAAGTTCTCCTATACCTTGTGAGGAGCAGCGGTGGCCCGTGCTGCAAAGCGTATGATACTTTCCCTGGTGACTTCAGTTCTAAATCTTGGATTTTCTCTAGTCGTGGGAGCGAGGAGTTGCCTGAATCCCACAGTGAAGTTTCCAGCTGACGTATCCATAGCTTGCAACGCAGGATTGTTTAGGAGTGCAATCCTTTGGGGGTTAGGAAAGCACCAAGCTGATGGGAATACAAGAGAAAGCAGAGGCTTGGTGTGGGAGAGATGTTTGTGTGTCTGTTCCTTGGGGGAGCAAGAGGAACACGATGTGATCATTCTTGTATGACTGCCCTCGAGATCAGTTCCAAGACAGCAAGACCATGGGCTACTCAGTCGGGCTGTTCTCTTCCTGTAACATTTGGATCAGTCTCACTTGAGAGGGGAGCTTCAGGAGTTTGCAAGGACGCACACAACAAGGTGTTCGCAGTTGTACAGCAACAGGAAGTAGAAAGAAATGGAAATTTCTCTACCAGTATAAAGATCACAGGGGCCAATTTTCTCTAAAGTAACAGTGGACAGAACAGGTAGTGCTAGGTTTTTTGAGGTACAATAAGCAATGGTTGCATGCAAGGATTGACTTTTGCTGTTGATAGCTACCCCTCTTTAGTGTGCAAGCAGCTGTTAACTACTAATATTTGCATGAGTGGGTTTTTTGGGATTCTGGAGTGCATTACAAATGCTGAAAAGCTTAACTGGTGAAAGAAGTCACAATACAACAGATAAATGACTAAGGACCCTATATGACCTGTGATCACATAAGTCTCTTGTGTTAGGACTGATGGTACTTCATATAACATTTTTCATGATTTAGACCTCAGAGTACTTCACAAAAGTAGGCCAGATGGAGACATGAAAGCAAGGAGGGGGAAACTAGTTATTCCTCTTCCAATTTATTGACCCAAACAGTGTGGTTTTTTTGAGAACATGGCATGTGTGGCAGGCTATTTGAAGGAAAAAAAAACAAACAAACAAACAAAATTGTGTCACCATTAACTGCAGATAAATTCAGATACATTTTAGTGAATATTTACTGAATTTCCAGGGGAAGTTAAAAGGAAACTTTTTTTTAATTATCTAGTTTCACTTATGCTTTCAGGTCTTTTTCCTTAGATTTGTCACAAAGTGGATATCTTAAATGCATTAAGCAGATGAGAAAATGTTGTATTCCCTTTCTTGAGAAAAAACTGTCAATATTTAGCATGCTTGCTGACAGTATCTAAGTAAAGCTGGAGACAGTACGATGAGCTGTTCTGCATCCCAGAGGTTCACTGCTCTTTCTGTGTTTATTTTCAGCGATTATAGGGCCTCCTAAAGTGAACAGCGTGACTGTAAGCTCTGACTCACTTCTCATTAGTGTCACGCCCCCTTTTAGATCTGAAGCAGGTGACCTTCTTCAGTATCATGTGTCCTACTGGGAGAACACAACAAGTACTACTGAAAAAGTAAGAATTCTCTCTAATTTATTTTGTTCATAATGCTTTCGTGACTAAGAGATATGAGTCAGCGTGTCTTGGCAAAACAGCAGAAATGGAGGAAGAAAACTAATGTGGGGTTTTTTTTTTTCAGCAGTGAAGGTAACCATTTGGTGTCTTGAAAAGAAAAGTTAATTTGATCTTGGCACGAGTATTGCACATATCACAAAACTTTCAAAACCATCTTTTTTTCCTGCATATGAAACAAAGTTTAAATCACATTGCAGATCAAGGGAGAGAATCCACAAAGCATCAAAGGTGGCTTTAAAATGACATTTAGATTCCAAAGTTTGCTTACACAAGTTGGAAAACCCTGAACTATCCTTCCTCCTTTCCTGTGCTGGGCTTATTTGTGCTGGCAGCTTCAGTTAAGAGGCTGCTTTGGCCTGATGTTGCCTGTTCCTAGGGCAGAGAAAGGCAAGAGTTACTAGAAACGTGCTAGACACAGCTGGGATGAGCTGTCCCTGTTCATATTGAGACTTAGAGGCGTTGGTCTCGTCGTGCTGTTATGCTGCTGCCTGGGACCCTGGTAATTGTGTTTGTGACAGGCCAGCGTTGCACGGGAGGGATTAAGTAACATTTAACAAAAGAGAGAAAGAACATCATTTTAAGGTCAAATGTTTAAAAAACAGAAGCAGAAAAAAAAAATTACTTAAAAAAACCCCCTTTGTTTCAAAGACCTTGGGAAATCTGAAATGCCTCCACTTCCTTCCTCCCTTGCACCAGTAACACCCATAAAATACCTTCATGTTTGAGATTCAGACAAGAAGTCACTCTTGTAGGCTTCACTCAGGCCCTTACCCGGGCCACTTACAGATTAAAAATTCCCAAAATAATACCCTGTGGTGGCCGTGTGGAGACTGTGGAGGTTTTGCACTGCCCATCGGCTGTTTCCTTCTTCAGTAGAAGGAGCTGAGATGGTGGAAGCTCTTCACTGAACTACGCTTCCGTCAGCCTCCTCTGATGGAGGAGGCACTTCTCATGTCTGGACTTTTCCCTCCCCCTTCCTATATTGGGCTCGCTGCCTGAGCTGTTACAGAAACTGTGTCAAAGCATCCAGCGGCAATATTAAACTGACTGCATCAGTTTTCATGCCTCTGCTGTTCATGCCTTTATAGATGATTTTAAATGGTCAGGCTTAATTTAATTTAAAAATAATGAAATTTCAAATGCCTTCAAGTAGGAAAGTTGAAATATATTTCATTGCTTCCCTTGTTTGGGAAGCTGAATTATGAGAAATAAAATCTGTGCTTTTTGAACAAGAAACTTAAATATGGGGAGGGGATTTGTATTGAGGACAGGTCTGTTTTTTACAGTAACACTTTTTTTTGTGTGTGTCTTTTAAACAGGAGATAAAGATGAGCAATACAGTATTCAAAATCACAGATCTAAAGGAATTGACACTTTATTGTTTTAGAATTCAAGTAGAATTGAGGACACATTTGGATCCCCAGTTACTTGGACTGCAGAGTGCTCCAGAGTGTTACAGAACTACAATCAGTGGTATAATTTATTTTTTTTTTAATATAGTGGGATGAGTGTAGAACATGAGTCTTGGACTGTGTAACCGGTCACTGACATACCTGTAGTGTTTGTTTGGAGTGCTGAGAGAGCACCGAAAGTAGTTCACAATTGTCATTGATGGCAAAGTAATAAGGAATTTTTCAGTCAGTAACTGAGGGTCTACGTTGTACTCTTCCCCGTGTCCTTTTCCTCCATAAATACTGCAATGGGTATTCCTTTCTAGAAATATGCAAAGAAAGAAAAGACAAATACTTGGTCTTTAGAGGAAGTCATTGATGAAGGAGACAGCGTTACTCTTGCAAATCCTCTCCCTCAGCCACCACCTCCTGCAGAACAGGAACTTCCCTCTCCTCTTTGACCTGCTTCCTTCTCTGACGTTTTGAGCTCTGTGTTTTCGTATGAGATAAGAGAGAGGATGAGGGGAGGAGAGGGCATGTGCAAGATAACAGAGTTTGTCCCTCTCTTGAAGCTCTCCGTCTGACCACCAACACACAGGCACAAGCCATCTCTAGCATGCTTTGAACACACCAGAAGACGTATAGCTGAAACCTGCGTACGCGGTTTCTGAAGCCTTACAGGAGCTGACCGCCCGGGTAGTATTGACCTTGATCGCAAGCCCCTGCGCTGTGATTTTGGAGTCTCTGGTGCTCCCCTTGCTGAAAGGAGCTGCACATTCTGAAAGAGAAGCTCCTGGCATTAATGGCCCTCGCTGACAACTGGAGAGGGGGAAGGACAGGTTGCATTTCCCCACCAGCACTCTGCCCGCCAGCTGTCCTTCCTCCAGCCCAGCATTTACCCTGGCAGGTAGAAGTGGCCTTGGGCTGCGTGATTAAGGGGCAGAAGCTCATGGGAGCTGGCAACTTCCATGTGGAATGACAAAACAAGCTACTTCTGAACACCAGTGTTTGGAGTGCATCTCTAGTAGGGTTGTTATCTTAGCCTTAGAATTATACTTTTATTACCAAGTATAGTAAACTTCAGCTTGCTATATCTTGTTTTACATCTGATGATGTAAAAATATAAACCTACCATATGTATATAGTTTGGGTTTTTTTTCTTTTTCAGAGGCAACCAGAGCTGGATATATTATACTAATATTTCTGTTCGTGTTACTTTTTGTAAATCTGGTAACAGTTGGTTTATTTTTTCTGTGGAAACACCACAAAACACTTAAATATTGGTCCCAGCCACCTTTAGAAATCCCATCACACTTTGAAGAGGTACGTGTAGACACTTTATATTTCTACCCCCTGCCTTTCTCCCCCTGTAAAAGACAGTGATAATCTGGGAGTGAATATGAAGGAAGCTAGTTGTTGCGTAACAGAAATAGATATAAACAATTGCTGACTTAGTGTGAACTGTTACTTTTCCCATATATGATCTCCCACTTTATTCCTCTTTTACTCAGCTGAATTATTTTTTTTTCTCTACACTAAGATACAAATGCTGCTATAATCCTGTTATGAAACTGGAGTAAGATTCTCTGTTCCTTGACTACCCCTTGTCTGTTCCTTTCTTTGCTTCTCTAAGTCATCAGGCCTGAAAAGCAAAAAGCTTTTGTGTGCTGCAGAACAGGTACTCGGGACCTGGGCTCTGATTAGAAATCAAATACAGAAAAGCAAACATTGATCATTTTAAGAGCAAGGACTGACTTGAAGACTAAAGACTACCTAGGGGAATGTTCTCGGGCTTTTTCTTTTTTTCCTGTAGGTTTAGCAACACTCAGATGAAAAAGTCATCCTGGGACTTTTTTTTTTTCTCCTTATAGCCCACACATTTCTGTACTGAACGATATTGTTTCCATCCTGTTCATCTTCCTCTTTTTAGTATTTAAACAGGAAGCAGTCTTTAAGCAGAGTTCTTGATTTAAAAGTTCTTGTCCAGCATACATTCCATATTTTTAAAAGCTTGTATTTGTTTGCAGTTCTCTGAGGTGTATTCCTTTGTATATATCTGTGTGTCAGAGCAGGCCATTGTACTATGGTAGTTCTGTGATTGCAGAGCTGTTTTTCCAGATTTTTATAGATGTACGGGTGAATGAACCCAGACTTTCTGCAGAGCCCTGAGTAAAGTAAATTAATTTTCTCTCTTCGTGCCACCTCATTTCCTGGGAGCTCAGTGGAAACAGCTGTACCACATACCAAGCAAAGTGTCTCTCTCTCACATGGGGAAAAAAACCCAACCAACCAAAAAAAACCCTTGTACAATGTATTAAAATAGTGCATTTCATGCAAAGGACTTGCGAGAATAGAGTCTATCATCATGTGTTCTGGGGTAATTGTATTCATCTAGAAAATATGTAGCAAAAGTAAATAGTCTTGAACAATAGTGAGCCTGGTTTTGGGCAAAACACTGATAAGAAATGAAAGAAAATCAGTAAATATGCACAATTTTTAAAATGTGTATTTCTAAAAGGGATCAGCCAGCCTGGGGCTTCTCTTCTTAAAGCACACAAGTACAGAATACCGATTATTTTAAGGCCATTGCGTATGTGCTCTTTTAGATTTTTCAGAAAAGTCACATGCTTCCTTCTTTTACAGAAGGATTCCAGCTTTCAGCATCTTGAGTTATAGGGAGCAGCTCTACGGCAGAAATGCCTTTGCATAGCAAAGCCAAATTGAGGTTCATTTATGTCTTGAATTTACTGAAGTGGATCTATTTGAGGTTCCCATATGAAACATTTGTTTTTAATACACCTGAAAAAACAACCCTGTTGCTCATTAGCCTTGCTATGGTTACAGAGAAAGTGGAGCCTTAATTGAAACAAAGGTTAATTTTGTCTCAGAGACGTGGGATTGAGCTGTGGTCCCATCTCAGCCAGATTATGACACCTCCTACAGCACAGACCAAGCTTTTGAGTAAAACTGCAAGCTTTTAACAATGTGAAGGTGTCTGTGTTCCAGACATTTTAAATTTTCTTTTTTAAATCGGGGGGGAAAAAGTGTTCAATGGCAGATTTATTTTTTTTTTTTTTGTTCAGTACATAAATTGGTGGATGGCTCAAATTCCATGTGAAACACAAGATCAGCTTACTGATAAGGAAAGTATATGAGGGTGGCAGGAGGAACAGGAAGCATTGTCTCTGGCCTACTTTTTTTTTTTTTTTCCTAATGCTCCTTTCTTTGATTATGCATTCATTGTAAAGCTGATGACTTAATTTGGGAAGAAAGGGGAGCAGAGGGGAAGTCAAAGCAAAAAGTCACTATGAGAGAAGAATGTCAGCGGAGGTTTCTGGTAACAGCAAACGCTGCAGATCTGACTTGCCTGACATGGAACAAACTAGAATCTTAGATCTCATTTGCTCCATCGGCACTTTAGACAAGCTGGCAGTTGCTGGATTCTTGCAGTTGGAGCATCTGTCTCCAGCAGCGGAATCAAGAAGTGTTTTCTTCTGTGGTTTGTGCTTAACTAGTAGGAATTTGCCTCAACTGACATGGGAAAAAAAAAAAGGAAATGTAGGCTACTTTAACTCACTTAAATAGATATTTGAAAAAAATGTATCCCCCCCCCCCCCCCCCCCCCCAGGTATTTTTAACTTTCTCCTTGTTCAATGTAGTTTCAAGGAAATCCAGACTAGAATCTACATTGAGCAGCTCTCGCTGTCAGTTCTGGTCTGAAGCAGCTGTATTCTGTCTCTGTAATGCGTAATAAATACATCCATTCTGTGGCTAGATCCCTAAACTGGTGTTTCTGGCTTTTTCCAGTATTTGAAGGACCCTAGCATGCCTGTTTTAGAGGGGCTGGACAACTATGCTGAGGATGATCCGCATGATTCCATATCCGTTGTATCTGCTGAAGAAGGAAGCAGCAGTTTGGATGGTCAAGCTCAATCACGCAGCATCGCCAGTGACAGTGAAGTCACTTAAGCAGCCCCCTCCGCCCGTGCCTGGACTTTGCAGAAGCTCCTGCCCTGTAGTAGCTGCCATGTGGTTGCTGGCAAGACAGACAACATGCTCCCAATAAAATGCGGCCAGTGCCGAATGTGGAGTGAGATGTTGCTTCCTGAGAATAGCACGGACCCTGAGCCTTTGGTTAAACGGCTTCTGCTGTGCTACAGCAGCAACTGTGTTCTGCCGACAAGATGTACAAGGTGGAACGTGAAAGGGGAATGAACACTAAATTGCCTAAAGACAGCTGGTTATAAAATGGTTAGATCAACATCATATTTCCCACCTCAAATTGAAATAAAGCTTTGAGAAATAATGGCACTTTAGGGTAGGATGTAGTACAACCTGGAGTTTTTCAGAGATGAATAATTGCACCGTGAATTACTTTTATAATGGCTTTTGTTTTGCTGCCTTATTTGTGAAGTCTGTGTGAGCACTCAAGGTGTATTATATCCACCCCAGTATGCTTTTCTGAATCGTTTTAAGTTTTCTGTGGCAGCTTCTTCCCTCCAGATAAAACCTGCAGTCTAAAAAGAAATTGTATAGTACTTTACTCCCTTCAGCACGAACCTCTGCTCCAAGAAAGGCCTCTTCCTATCTGCCTCCTAACACTCGTAAAAAAGCATTAATTTTATCATTCTTTACAGCAAAACAAACTTTAAAATAATTTTGCTCAGAATTTATATAATGTGTATCAGTAATTATCAGACACTAAAATCTCTTGTTGACTATCAGATCAGTCCTGCAAATGAGAAGTTGACTGAGGGTGATTTCGAGTCCCTTAGAGCAGACTACACAGTGAACCTCACGTCACAATCCTGTGGGGTCTGGAAAGTGTCTAATAAAAAAGACCAAATGAACCACTTCTCTACTACAAAGGTTGTTTTTATTTCTTTTACTTTTCTTCCTGGGTTTGATACAAGTTGTTTTTTTTTAAAAAAAAACAAAACATGCTTGTTTATTTGCAAATGACTTGTTCAAGTTACTGAGGTCTGTTAATGAACCTGGTTGCTGTCAGAGCTGTGCGTTATCCAAGGTCACACTGTCCCACCCCCTTCCAGGAACACTCCAGACCAGCATGAAACATCAGTAACTTTTTTCCCAGAAGCTTCCTGCGGTGGTTTCCTTGTATCTAATCACTTGTGACTGGGGAGCACGCTAAGACAAGGTAGTTAGCTGAAGACTTGGGTCCTACTTCAAGGCTGCCAGACTTTGAAAGTCAAGTGAGGCACAAGCTGTGTAACACCTGCTTTTAAGTTCATCCATGTTCTGTTTCTGTCCTGTGCTGCAAAGGAAGAACCACAGACTTGCAAAAGGAATAACCTAAATGCATAACAGAGGACATGAAGAAGGTAAAACAGCTCCTGTGAACATTTAGCAATACAGCATACAATTTCTGAACAAGCCCTACGCTAGACTTCTGTGAGTGAGAGTTGTTACTAAGAAGTTTTATAGTTACACAAATAGGCCAAAGTTAAAAACCTTTTGTTAGGCCAAGGCCTTACCTAAACCGAGCCATCCCTCTCCCTCTTGGCCTGCACTGGCAGTACATGTGGTGTAAATGTGGGCCTCAGGAGATTCTGAACAAAGCCTGCGTGGTTCTTACACTACACTTGTGTTCAACTTTGGCCACCAGAAAAGGACACATGCTCAAAGCTGTCTCTCCTCTTGGCAGCTGTAGAGAGCACATGACCATTTCAGTTCTCTAAAACCAGAATGGATGCTCAAGAAATACTTACAAGAAAGCAAACTTCTGGTAGAAGAATGCAGGTAACTTCAGAAAGAAGCTCTTGCCCTGCTCTTAAGAAAACTGGTTTTTAACCAGGAACTTGGATTAAAGCACGCTGTAAGGGTTCTTCCAGAGTCAAACATGGAGCTTGTGCTGTTCAAGCATCAGGTGCGATACACTGTAAATGGGATTAGTTATAGGCTGCACTTGTTTCTCACTTAGTAAAAAAGCCAACAAACACTCACAAGCTCCTAGGCAAGAAACTGATAAGACCTGAAAACAAAACCCTGGTGTAAGACTAGCTTACAGGTCCGTACTACTTGATCTATTGAGTACTCCTGTACAATTACCTTGTGAAGTTCACTATGTTGAGAACATAAGAGAAAATTTATTGCCTTTTTTCTGAAGTTACAACCAAACAAGACAACTTGTATGTACAAAGCCATGATTAACACCAGGGAATATATCGTAACTCACTGCGGGACGGTGAAATCAGGATGAAGTTAGTCTAGCCAGTAGCACATTTTCAGCTGCAGCTATTTGCTTCATATTCTGTCCACTGGAGAGATTCCCACAAGGGAGCAAATAGATGACTAACAGCATATAGTAACCATGCACAGAAGTTACGTTCGGCAGTTTTAATACCGTTTGGTCAGCAATCCTGATACATGGCAAGTTATAAAAGCTTTTAGACACAAGGTGGATTCAAATGCTTTAAAAACCACATAGAACTCATAAGGTAAGGAAGTCTCCAACAGCAAGATGAATATACAAGATCAGTCCAAAGCTATAAAACATCGGTTTTCTCCTGTTCTGTATATTCCAGCTGGAAACTGGATTTCAATAGTGGAAGCATTCCCATAAAGCGCCCATGAAATTTAGGAGATAAATACATTTTAACTGGGACAAACAGCAGTCCTAAAACTGGCAATTATGTCAAGGTAAGATTGTGAGCAATAAATACATCTACTATATCCCCACTTGAAATGCTCGCCTCTTAAACAGAAAAGGTAATGAGTAGCAGGATAACTGTTCATTTATCAGCAAAAAGCTTCCCTGGAAGAAAATTCTGCTAGTGTAATTTTAAAGATGTTAGTCTGACTCTCATTTGTTCTTTATATTCCTTAAGTATGACTGGCATCAGTTTGTTGGGGTTTTTATTCTAATATCAGTAAATAACATTACGTACTAATTGGTATCTATTACACTGAACAGCCTGAAATTAATTCTAAGGACTGCGGTGCTACCAAACGTCATTTGTGCTATAGCAATCAGAAGTCAGGAACAGTTTGATTTGCCATGCAGGACCTGCTTAATATAGGGCCTTGGTTAAAAACTCATAACCTTTTACAAACAGCTACTTTATTTTTCTCAACAGTTATAGAAAATTCTTAAAATCTGCTCTTATCTTGGCATACAACAGAATTTACCCTCGTTAAATATGGGCTTAGCTGGGTCACTTCCAGGCGCTGACTCTTCCTCTGGGTTCCGCAGGCCGCCCTTGCTGTCAGCCCTTGGCAAATCGGTGCTAGCTCCCCTCTATGTAAACGCAACAGCCCCTTTCACAGGGCAGGGGCTTTATCCTGCTTGTTCACTAACAGTTCCATGGAAGTCTCTGACACATGTGAAGGTTTGGAAGATCAAGTCTTAGGAGTTGATGGAAACCTCTGTATTTGAAGAAATAAGCCTGAAGATTTCAGAAAGAATGCTTGACATTCCCTTTTTAAGATATATACAGTCATATGTACATATTCACAAATCTGTCCTGTGAAAAGAGGGAGCTTATTACAGAAACTGTCTCAGTTTGTGCAATTGAGAAAGCAAAAAGAACAAATAAACGTAAATATATCTACATACATAGTACAACATAGCAACTATGGAACAGACAACGCTATACATGGTCTTTCATCCCCATAACTCTTCTGTTCTTCCAAACTTGTAGATCAGAGTACTAAAGGGGGGGAAAAAAGATAAATTAAAAAAAAATAAATCAGACTGTACATAAGGTGGAAACGGTAATTTTAATAGTATTCTTATAATCTTATGCTATCTGCACTGCAAATCAACATCCCTCCAGTAACCTTAACTTTTATCCAAGTCAGTATCTGATTTTTGTACTTACATTTCATTTACTATGCATTGCTACAACTATGAGATCTAGCTGAAGCAGCTGCTCAAATAAAAAAATAGCCAGTCTCACAGTAAAAGCAGCTGCCCTTCTGAAGGAAAAAAATTCTGATATTTAAGAGATTTTAGGACTGATCCACAGTTACAGAGCAGCAAGTCTCATCCTGGCATCTGGCAATCACCTGAACATAACGTATCACACTAGGACAGAATCTAAACAATTACATTTTTATGAGCAAATCAGAAAGAATATTGATCCTGTGGTGGATAAGTGAGATCCAAACTACAATTTGATTTCCAAAATTCCTTTTATAAGGTTGGATGCAATTACATTTTGTCACGAATCAAAAAAAAAAAAAAAGTGAAGAGAACAAAACCAAGCATGTCTTCCTTATTATTCCTTCTACTTGAAATTATTTTGTTCTTATGGCCAACAAACAGGTGGTAACGAAGGGCACAGTCGTACTTAATCAGAAGGGAATGAAGAGGGAGGGAAATGAGAAACACTGACACTGAGGACAACAACAACAAGCGATGATAAGTAAAACAAGGTAGACACCCGGGCAATTAATTACAGAAGAGAACTACTAATATGGCACGTTATACTAAGTAAAAAAACCTGGTGGAGTAACAACCAGGGCTGAAGCACAAGTCCTGAAGGAGACACATGATTCTGGGAATACAGATATTATGGAACAACACTGCTGGAAGAGAATCTGATTCAATGAAAACAAAATTTTTTGGATAAGGACATTGAGAAGGGCATCGCTGATTGACTGACGTCTGGCCTAAAGACAGGAGTCTACGGCAATGGATGGACTTATCAAATGTTACTGCCTAAAGTGTGTGGTGGGATAAAAAACAAGAATTGATTTATTTTTTTTTAAATAAAAAGGTTGTATTTCGTCCCATAGTTCACACCTAGAAAAGTTTTAGAAGACAAAAGAAAACAAATAAACCTAAAATACATCTACATACAGACTACAATAGAAAGTAAGGAAAGACACTTTCAGAAACAAAGAACAGCTTCAGAAATAAGTTCATCAAACTACTGAAGTAAGACTAAAGATTTCAGGCATGGTGAAACTATTCTCAAAAGTCTGCTTTCATCAGTACCCCATTATCAGTCCTGTGCAAGGCTACAGGAGAGATGTAGGAACTGCTGTTTTCTGCAAGAACATAACTGATTTTTCCAAAGAGGGAAGCACAGGGGAGGCAGTCGATCTAGCTTGCTGTGAAGCATTTGATACGGTAAGAAGGAAAATTGTTAGCACAGTAACTTAAAGGGGAAGAACTTGCCAAAGAGGAAGTTATGTGAACTTTCTCAGTGACTGAGCTCAGAACTTACACTATTTAATGCTTTCATTGTCTTTTATTATTTAATAAAATTCACGTACTGCAGAATGCATTATACATATAAAAAAGAGTTATTACAGATACAGATAGTTTGAAAGTGTCATATGATATTCTTAATAATATTAAGCAAAATAAAAGAAACTGATTTAAGGGTAATATTACAAAATATACCTTTATGCTTTTAGAAAAAAAAAATTATCATTCTTAACAACTGAAAGCTCATCCAGTAGAAAGAAATCTAAGGTGTGTCAGTTATCTGATAATCAAGTCAGTGATATGAAATAGTCAGGAAAAGGGCAATAGGATCTCGCAGCTAGCGCTGTCAGGATATATGCCAAGGTATTTGTAGTACAGAGATGAAAGCATTATTGCCATTATCCAAAGACAGTATCTCACCCAGAATACTGTCTATATCCTTGGTCATCCACATTCTAGAGCTGTAAATTGAGAGATCAGAAAGAGCTGGACTGACAGGAGCATGAGGAGAATGAAGAGCCTCTCACGGGCTGAGAACGGGCAAATAAAACATTGTCTCTAAGCACTGGAGCAAAGGGAGTAGAAAAAAAAAAAGTAGCACAGTGGGAAAAAAGTAGTTTTTAAGAAATAGTTTGATCAGTTTCTGCATATCACATATCTGGTAATATCACATCAGTTCTCTGTACAATGTCAGTTTACTCAGTGACCCAAGAGGTCCCGTCGGCTGACATGGCATGTGAAGGTCAGGATGGGTAACAAAGTGAAATAAGGAGGGTCCTGCCTTGAGAGCAGCAAACTCCACATTAAGGAAGGTCCGCACCTGGAGTCAGCCTCCAGAACTTATTTTCCAGGAGTATCAGTGTGCACAGAAGCAGGAAGGTCAGATATCCTTTTTGGAAGGAGGGAAATTTGCCCAGATAACTTACCTGAAAAATATCAATGCATTTTGGAAAAACACTGCTAATCCAGGGTAAACATTAGTGTCTGCAAAGTAACAAAGGAAATATTCAGTTCTTTTGTATTGGAAGGTGTATTTAAAACACCACTCATAGTATCATTCTCTGACTACAAAACTAGATGGTATGGCTCTGACAAGAACCGACCACACACTTCTGTTCTTCTGGACTTTCTGCCTTTTGGCTGACAGCAAAAGTACTTTTCTATATGTGAAAATAAACACACTTACTCTGCGTAACATATGCTCCAAAAAGAATCCACATTGAAGCAATAAGTGAACCAAACATCAACATAAAGCCAATGAAGAGCCAGACACGAGCACCTGCAGGAAATATTACAACCTCTGAGAACCACGTAGACTATCAGCCATAGTAACAGATGATCCCAAGCTACGACTCTGTTGTGACACAATATGTTATCTTGCTGAAGGCACAAAGGGAAAGGGTTAAACCCTGTATCAAGGACAAGATAACCCAAAATTTGCCTTCTCTAGTAAAACACATAGTAGCTGAATTCCCCTTATTTTAGTGAGCAGACACAACTACCAGAATTTTCCCCTCACCTATAGGGAATGCCTAACATCATCTAACACAACTTGGAGTGGACTAATGATGAGGGACTTTGCCAAAGCTATAGTCTTTCTGAGGTAAAGATGGCATTCCAATAGGGTACGTAAAACAAACGCTTCCTGTGTTTACTTCCGAAAGGTATTTTCAGATGGGCAACATCTACCATAGCTAGACATCACCTGCTGAAAAAGGAAGATGATGCCATTGAAAATAATCAACCTGCTCACTCATGGGAAAGGAAAAATATTTCTATGCAAAGATTCTCTTGTGCCGATTTATGAATGACACACAAAAAAACATGTGCGCTAGTTCAAAAATCAGTAAATCCTACCAGATTTCTGGTCAGGCATTCTACAAATCATAGGAAAACAGATGCTGGGATCCACATGGGAAATAGTAAGGGAAATATGAATGAAAGCAGAGCGAGGATAGCAGGTCCACAGATACCACACAGTAGGTGACATACAGAAGAAACAGAATGTTTGTGATATATTCTAAAATAAGACATTCTTAAGGAATGTGTGCTCCATAGCCTACCACAAGGCAGAAATTTATTTCTCCCAGCAGCTACCCAGGATTTGCAGAGGAAAAGTTTAGGTATTCAAGATCTACAGAAGTCAAATTGTTCTAAGTTCACCTTTTTAACAAAGATAGTACTTATCTCCAAGTGTTAATTTTGTAAAGAAATTAACTTCACAGAAGTTCTCTCCTACTCCTTAACTTCTGATTATTATTTGTTTAACAACCACTTAGGAAAAAACCCCAACATCTAAATAATCAGTCTTTCAACTCAGTATGATTTTTAGAGTTAATTACCTGTTCTTCCTAAACATCCATCACTGTAGCTGTCTCCTCTCACCTGTGCATTTGATACAGCATTTATCCTAGGAACAAAAAAAGTGTATACACTTCAGATTACTAGAAAATCAATTTAAAGTTATAAGTAAAAAGCTAGCTTTTTTTTTTAAGACACAAAAAAATCTGGGAAAATTACTTGGCATTCTGTATGGTCACGTATTATTACATGCCCCTTAATGGAAAGATTCCAACCGGATTTCAAGCAAACCCACTGTCTATTCATAAGTTTTCCTTTAATTTTTACATTAACAGACCTGTAATATGAAAGAATTGCCCTTTTTAGCGATCGAAATGTGCCTGGTTGCTTTCTGGCTGTTTAAGTTTTTAAAATATCTAAAGCCACGCTTCACAGGAATAATAACAGCCAGTAACACAGTGGTCTCATGATTACGATACAATTTGTTTTCCTTCACCATGAATACTGTAAGTATTCAAGCGAGAGACACCCTGTAAGGAGGGACAACACATTTTCCTAAAATGAGTTACACTGCTGAGGGAAAAACCCAGAAACTTTCAGATACCAAGTGTAAAGAAGGTCTTGCATATCCAAATGCATCCTTTTTTCTCACCAATATTGTATGAGTCAATAAAAACTACTACTACTCCTTCGGGCTTGACACGCTTACATCTTTATAACAATAGCTATAAATACTACTAGCTCTCCTATTTGAGGAAGTTTTGGGCCAGAGACAGCTGTAAAAATTATTTTAAAATAGGGGAAAATTCAGTCAAATGTTTTACATTGAGGTAAGCAACTGTGCAGCATTACATGAATTTTGATCTAGGAATCTAAATACTTATTATAGAAAGCTACTTGCATAAAGGAAGGTCTGCTTTCTCACATACAGCTGAAGCACACAGGAAAAGCAATTTACCCTAAACAGCTGGGGAGGGATAGACACAACAATGAATAAACAGACTACGATCATAAAACAAAGGCCACAGGTAAAAGAAAAAAGGCCTCTACATTGCCATGCAAAAAAGGTACAACAAGATTACTCCTAAGTCATTTATAATCAAGTGATTCAAAGTTTTCTCATACACCATATTGCCTAGTAAAAAGCCTATTTAACAGCTCATGTTTATTTTATAAGAACTCCATTTATACACACTTACATGAAAAAAGCTAGTGTCGAAAACACCCCACAGGTATGGAATGCATGGTTCATTTGTTCTGGCTTAGGATAAACTACTGCAGCATCTATCATTATCCACCAACCTGTGAAAAACTAGAAATAAAACGGACCAGTACTATGAGGCTGGAAGGGTACAGAGACAGGCAGACAAAACACAGCACGTGTGCATGCATGTCATTGGTTTGTCTTTTAACAGGTAGAAACTATTCCAGAAAGTTATTAACTCTAAGTAGGACTCTAAATCTGTCTGATATGCACCTTTTGCATAAACCTTAACAGTGATGTTTTCAGAGGAGCATTTGGGAATCAGTCGCATTTTCTATTCAAATTAAGTATCAGTGTATGGTTAAATTCCCTGTACAGCTTTAAGAACAAGAATCCAGATTCTAAACACATATGAGAAACAAACTATGTATAACAGGTGTTCTTACAAATCTAACTATGCAAAAAATCCACCAGGAATTTCAATCTTTTTTAAAGAAGACATAGCAGAAGTGGTCCATCATTATCAGACAAAATGCAAAGTTATGCGACTCAAAAAAGCTGTCTAATAATCACACTTAAAAAAATTTTAAAGAAACATACTGCATTGAGGTGCAGTTAAGAGTGAAACCTCACAAATTCTCAAACAAAAATGTAACTGTTGGTCGTACTTCTAAACTTGTCAACACAGTTACGATTCACATCCTCCCAAAACTTACCAATACACCCGCAACTATTGAAGCGATGGCATTTCTTCTTTCACTCCAGTCAATACACTCACATTCTGGCCACCGGAAGTTGTCTAGGAATCCTGCCATTTCCTCAAAGATTAGATTGCCCTTCTTATTTTGTACTTATACATGAATATTCCCATTAACAACTGTGTCCTAAACACCTGAAACACAGCAAAAGATGCATTTAATACAAAGTAGCAAAATCTTGAGATGTTTGACAATTCTCAGTGTGGGTTTTTTTAACAGAATTAAGTATTTTGTATACTCTATGGATTCCAAATTGAGCTATATTTAAAAACACAGCCTACCTTACAAACAGAACTACAAAATAAAATCATCACACAACCCAAAAACTTATGCATTATATATAAATTATTGTATCTGAAACAGAAAAAAGAATTAAATAGAATATACTGTTTGTTCAAATGTATGAAACACAAAAATAAAAGCAAGCAAAAAACAGGAGCAAAAAAGTAAATATTTCAATCTAAGTTTCATCTCCAAACCATAATCCTCTCTCTAGCACTAGCAGTTAAAAAAAGAAAGATACATACAACAGGGCTTCCTAGGCAGACCTTGGTCTTTGAGTCAGGCCAAGGAATCTTGCCTGACACACTTGTATTTCCAGTCTCCAAATAAGACAGATAACACAGTGCCTTTCTAACATAGGGGAAAAAGGGATCAACTCAGTGAATCAACGAATACCGAGGGTAAAGAATGTCCCGCTTCACACAGAGAGAGGATCACACAGACGTTTAAATACAGGAAGAGGAAAGCAAAGGTAATCAGGGTTACGAAGCGACTAATGAAACAACACAGTTCTCAAACAATGTGGTGAGAAGGCAGCTATAAAAGATTCTGCACTGCGCTACACCTAGTCTCACGCCATAAGATGAGTAGGCTATATTAGAAGTTAGAACATTTGCCATTTTTCTATTTAGCCGTGACTTACAGCCACTCTTAACGTCGTTCTATTTTAGTATTGTCAACTTCTGTGTTTTTGCTACCTGCCTAAATAATTTCCAGATACTTAAGGGTAACAACGGACAAATGTCCTTTATGAGTATGTTACAGGACAGACTGACGTAGAACATTTTTCTGGTTAATAACAGTAATTAGAATTCTACACTAAGAAGTGAAATAAAAATAAATAAACAAACAGAGTTTGCCTACACTACAAACACAGGCCACCTGCTCTGAATAAGATAAAAAAGTTTGTCCTCCTGAATCTTGTTCCAGAAATCCATCCATAGTCATGATGCTACCTTAAAGCATTTAAATCAATCACTCCATTCCAAAATTATTTTACTTTTGCATAGTATCTAGGCTCAAACATATTATTATTTTCCTAGATTGCACTTTTACCCAGCCATTTGCAGATCCCTATTCTTTCTACAACTTTCAAACAAAATTGCCATGCTGTGCTATTACAGATTTATGACTGCTCCTACAAATTCCTTCTTCTCCACTCTTAAAATGGCTCCATCTGTACTTTATTTGTTCCTCTTCAAACCCTGACTGTACCTCTTCCTCATCGTGCAGTAATCCCTCCCTTCCCCTCCCAGCTCCTTGCCCACCCACACTGGGACACAGCTCACGGTTCCCATCGCTGTCACCACTACAGACCACATGCTTCTCGCCTGGCGGTGCGGCTGGCCGCAGGCAGGACTAAAGAGACAACCGTGCTGTGCTATTTCTTCTCCTCACTGAACTCAATGGTGGTTACATCAAATCTACAACAGTTAATAACAAAGTTATTCTTAACAAATAGTTAATAACAAAGTTATCTGTTAACATAAACATTATTATTAAAGTTATCTACAACAGAGTTAATAATAAAGTTTTTACCTTGTCTGTAAACACCCTTTCAGTCATTTTCAGAATGAATGAAGCTCTATTTCTTCAAAGCTATATTTTCCTTTGGAATTTTTTTCCCATAATGGGCCATTTAAGTAGTATTAACATATCTAAATAAAATCACCTCCTTCAAACATAAAGTTCTTCTGCAATTCAGAAAGCAGGTCAAGAAAAGCCACTGGAAAAAATTATTTCAGGTATATCAACAACAGAAATTATTTTTCACCCTCTGTTGGATGCCACCCAGAGGTACCTTGACAGGTTGGAGAAATAGGCTGACAGGAACCTCATGAAGTTCAGCAAGGGGAAGTGCCAAGTCCTGCGCCTGGAAAGGAATAACCCCCACACCAGTATGTGCTGGGGAACAACTGGCTGGAAAGCAGCTTGGCAGAAGAGGACCTGGGGGTCCTGGTGGACACCAAGTTGAACACGAGCCAGCGATGTGCCCCTGTAGTAAAGGCGAATGGTACCCTGGGCTGCAGTAGGAGTGTTGCCAACAGGCTGAGGCAGGCAACCCTTCCCCTCTACCCAGCACTGGTGAGGCCACACCTGGAGCTTTGTGTCCAGTGCTGGGCTCCCCAGCACCAGGGCTCCCCAGTACAAGAGAGGCACGGACACACTGGAGAGAGCCCAGTGAAGGGACTGGAGCATCTCTCCTAGGAGAAAGGGCTGAGAGAGCTGGGACTGTTCAGCCTGGAGAAGAGAAGGCTCGTGAGGTTCTTATCAATGTCCATAAATACCTGAAGGGAGGGTGCAAAGAAGATGGAGCCACGCTCTTTCCAGTGGTGCCCAGTACCAGGACCAGAGGCAATGGGAACAAACTGAAACACAGGAGGTTCTCGCTGAACATCAGGAAATACTTTTTCACTGTGAGGGTGACCAAGCATTGGCATGGCTTGCCCAGGGACGTTGTTGGGAGTCTCCATCCTTAGAGATACTCAAAAGCCATCTGGACACGGTGCTGTGCAACCTGCTGAAGGTGGCCCTGCTTGAGTAGGGGGGCTGGACCAGGTGCCCTGCAGAGGTGCCTTCCAACCTCAACTCCTCTGTGATATTTAAGAAATAGCCTGTTAAATTCTTGGATGACTTAATGAAAGAAATCTTCTTACTTCTACAAAATTGCTCTAGTTCAAAAGGCTGAAACAAAATGAAAAAATTCATTCCCTTCTATGATTTCAAGGGGATATCGTTTGTTTTGTCAGCTAACACAATTAAGCCAACTTCCAATCCAAAAACTGACTAACATTTATCCTAGCAAAACCCTTTCAACTTTGTGAAGTCAGTAATGTTAAACATATGGATACCATGCATTGCACAAAACCCTGTCCTAATTATTAAGCATTTTTTAAACATTAGCTGACAAAGCAGAGGCATTTTGCTCACTTCAGAAATCTGAGACAAAATCCCTCTCCATACTTAGTTGTATTGGATATCAAATGGAGTTTTCACAACTGCATTAGTGACAAACGTGTGAAGCAAGGGAAACTAGAAAAAGTTGGGGGTTTTGTTGTTTGTTTTTTTTTTAACCTTCTAAGATACAGGGCAACCTTCTGCCAAAGCATATTATTTTATCAGAAACTGTATTTTTGGTGCTTCATACTGGCTCACACACCTGCACTTTGCTTTAAGCTTATCTTTGTGCTCAGGAGAGAAGCACCCTATATAATGTGAATAGGTGAAATAAATCCTATCTGCTGGCGGTCTTTCTACAGCAAAGAGTAGTAACAGACAGCAGTAACAGACAACACAACTTTCCTGTTTCACTGGAATAAGATTACAAACATGGAGAAACAAGGTGCAGAGAATGTGCAACAGAACACAGACAAGAAGTCTAGAATTATTTCTACATGTGACTAATGTCAGAAACTAGCTTTGATTTCAGAAAGAAAGCTTAGTGCTAAAGCATGCATGCAAGAATATGATCGGCAGTGAAAGGAAACAGAGGTGCTAACGTGGCTGCCATTTTTCTAAGATGATCTGAACATTAACTGATCCATTCAGAATTCTGCAAAGGAGTCTTTCACAGAGGTATTTCGACAGCCCCACTTAACAGTAAAAATAATTAAACATTTCTCTCACTACTGACATAGCTCCGTATGTATACAGACTTCACAGATACATGACTAAAAAGCAGCAATACACTGTTTCTTCCAGCATTAAGGAACGTGCCCACATTCTGTGACCAACGTGTGGGTATTCCTCTTTTTGTGAGGACTGAGGGCACCCACGTGTAGAGGGCACAACATACAAGGGCTGTGGGTTTTCCATAAAAAAGGACAGCAGGAAGCAGACTGCAGGATGCCAGAAGAATTCATCCAGCCTGAAGTCCAATCAACTATTTCCCGTGCTCTCATTTACCAGGTAAGCATAGTGCCTGTCAGACTTACTGGAAGGACAGACAGTACCGAGCCAACGCAAACGCAACAGGTTGGCCAACTTCTGACAAGTTGTTAAATAAAACACCTAGCTATTAGACAATACTGGGTTTAATATGCTAGAGGGAAGGGATACAATGATACGCTGAAGGGAAAGGATGCCATCCAGAGTAACACTGACAGGCTTGAGGAATGGGCCCATGTGAACTTCATGAAGTTCAACAAGGCCAAGTGCAAGGTCCTGCACATGGGTTGGGACAATCCCCAGTATCAATACAGACTGGGGGACAAATGGAATGACAGCAGCCCTGTGGAAAAAAAACGATGTGAGCTGGCAATGGGCACCTGCAGTCCAGAAGTACCAATCGTATCCTGGGCTGCATAACAAGAAGCAGGTCGAGGGAGGGGATTCTCCCCCTCTGCTCCACACCGTGAGACCCCCCTGCAGTACTGCCTTCAGCTCTGGGGTCCTCAGCACAAGACAGACATGGACCTGTTGAGTGGTCCAGAGGAGGGCACAAAAATTGGGGCCTCCCATTTGGGAAGGCTGGAGCACCTTTCCTATGAAGAAAGACCGTGTTCAGCCTGGAGAAGAGAAGGCTCCGGGCAGACCTTAGAGCAGCCTTCCCATACCTAAAGGGGCCGACAAGAAAGCTGGGGAGGGACTTTTCACAAGGGCAGGGAGTGATAAGACAAGGGGCAATGGCTTTAAACTGGAAGAGGGAAGATTTAGATGAGATGTTATATTAGGAAGAAATTCTTCCTGGTGAGGGTGGTGAGGCAGTGGCAGAGGTTGCCCAGAGAAGCTGTGGCTGCCCCATCCCTGGAAGTGTTCAAGGCCAGGTTGGATGGGGCTGTGAGCAACCTGGTCTGGTGGGAGGCGTCCCTGCCCATGGCAGGGGGGTTGGAACTGGGTGATCTTTAAGGTC